TATATATCATATGCTGAAGTACATTTCTGGAGTGTTAAAGATTAAAAGAAAAAATAACAAGAACCGTACAGAACCGAAAACCGTGATACAAACCGAACCGTGGGTTTTGTGAACTGTGCCACCCCTAGTGCTGGGTGTGATTTTGCCAGCCTACATGCTGCTTCCTGTCTGTCAGAAAGTTTGTGATCCCTCAAAGCGCCAACCCAGCGCACCATGAGCTGCTGCTGACGGTGCTTTGGTACAGCGTGGTGCACACCTACGCCCTCGGGCGTTGCACCACGGCACACATGTTCAAGGTAAGTTGGCGGACGCTACGAGACGAGTCGCCGGGATTGGCTGGGGCTGGAGTCGCGTTCTGATTGGTATGGCCATATGGCAGTGACAGTGGTAAGGATTATGTCACACTGCTTAGCAGTGGTGGATCTAGACAATTTTACATGGGGGGGCAAAGGGGTGGTAAGATATTTTGGGAGGGTGGCGTGGAGGGTGGAATGTGGGGGTTATATAGAAATACAACTGTACTTCTATAGGTAAATGTGTCCAAAAAAAGAACCACAGACACATTTTTACTATATTTATTGTGACATTATGTCAATACAGACGCCTCAAGTTTATCTTAATAATCAACAACAAGAACAACAGACTCGTGCGGCTCCTGCTGTCTCTGCACTGCCCACCCGGTCATATCTGACCACATTTTTTGGAGGTTACACGCTCATCTGCCACGTTTGAGAGCTGGTGATTTTTTAAGTTTCAAGTTTTTAAGTTTTGCTCTCTTTCTTTCGAGTCTTTAGCTCTGCTGTATCTCACTTTCCAAGCTTTGCAAATCAGAGCCACCTGCCTCAGTCACTAACAAAACCAGCTCCTCCTTTAAGAGTCATTGTCTGATGGGCTTAGTGCTTGTTTGCCGCTCATTATGTTACAGCTGGAGTTTGAGAAGCACCTGTCCATCTCCCTGATCATGGACTCCATGGAGGGAATAAATGCTCCTTTTCTGAAGGCGTCTTTGCTGTTAACATGTGTTTGCTGTCCAGGTGTAGATGTGACAAGACATGTGGTCTGCTTGGGGCATGTTTGGTACTTTTTGGTGTGACAGTGGCAGAAATGTGCCGATCACTGCATGTTTCAGTCACTGTACTCCACAGCTCTACACTCGCACTGAACACTACAAGGAGCCCTACAAAATTCAATTCAAAACTTGAATGCAGGCCTGTGAATAGTTGCTCCTATGGTGGCAAGGAGGCCCTGCTGGAGCTTCCCCTCCAGGTGGAGTCCCCCAGTCTGGCCTGGTGTGCTCTCTGGAGCAGGTGCCAGGACCTACTCTGAAGAGCAAGAGACAGGAGCAGCCTGGTGCTGGAGGATGCCCTCGAGCAGCTGGAGGACTTCCTGCGAGAGCTGGCTTATGGAGGAGAGGTGTAAGATCTTGAGCTGGTATTCAACACGGAGGGGAAGGTCAGCACTCTGCAGCTCGACCCTGATGCTCCAAGGGTCCCTGATGAGGTCCACCAGCCTCCCCAGGTTCCCTGCCTGCATCCAGAGGCATCGGGGCTCCCCCCATTTCCTATGGACCCAGGTGAAACAGCTGCAGAGCCCCGGCTGTTTGTGAACGAGGTGGTCTCTCCGCTGCCTGGAACAGTGGCTCACAGTCAGTAAGGAGCAGCCCAGCCCCAGGGCAGCAGGACGAGAGCGCAGGACAGTGGCACACGGCCAGTAAGGAGTAGCACAGCCCTGGGGCAGCGGGATGAGAGTGCGGGACAGCGGCTCAGTCAGTAAGCAAATGGCCACCTGGTCACTGCTGATAGATGGCATTAGGGGCCTCACTGAGAAGGGAACAAACTGCAGGGCAATAAAGTACAATTAATATTCATTTTATGTAGGTAATGGCCATAAATACTGTGATAAATTGTTTTTTTTCCCCGTTTTTGTTTTTTTGAAATCCCTCTATGAGTCTATGTTAATAGCAGAGAATTGTGGAAAAATTACGAGAAAATATGGTGGTAAATCGAACCGTAGGAGAATCTTATCTTGCTGGTATAGTACATCAGCCTACAAGTCGGCCTGAACATTTTCTTTGGCGTCATTAATGACAGAGGAATCCTGCAGCATTGTCGCTGCTCAGCTGCTCTTCTGTCAGATTAATGAAGTGAGCTGTCAGAGAGCAGGAGGAGGTATGGAGCGCGCGCTGATTACAGCTGCTCTTCTGTGAGATTAATGAAGTGAGCTGTCAGAGAGCAGGAGGAGGAGGTAAGGAGCGCGTGCTGATTACAGCATGGGAGAACCCAAAACGTGCTGGGAATCCAGACTTGGAGATGCCATCCAAGGATGTGAGCATTTGCTGGCCAACTGCTTTGCTCCTGAGTGGTCATAGTGTAATTGGAACAGTGTGAATATGACAGCCAATCAGCAGAGGGCCCTGAAAATCAAGCCTGGGGAGGATGTGGCACTCAGACAGCCAATCAGCAGAGACCCTTGGGGACCCAGCCTGGGGAGGGCCCATCACATGTGGCATTATGTGCCTCTGTCAGTCCCCGCTTGACCCAGGCTTTTAGGCTTTTATCGTCAAGAGTATCAAATTCCTCGATGTTCACCTGGCGGAGAACCTCTCCTGGTCCCTCAACACCAGCTCCATAGCCAAGAAAGCCCAACAGCGTCTCTACTTTCTGCGGAGGCTGAGGAAAGCTCATCTGCCACCACCCATCCTCACCACTTTCTACAAGGGGATGATCGAGAGCATCCTGAGCAGCTGTATCACTGTCTGGTATGGGAATTGCACTGTAACAGACTGCACAACCCTACAACGGATAGTGAGAACGGCTGAGAAGATCATCAGCGTCTCTCTCCCCTCCATAACCGACATTCATCAAACAAGCCCCCCCCAATCAGGATTACATTTATTTACATTTTAGGCAGAGAAAAAAACTATAAATTATATTTTTCTTGATTATTCAGCTCACTGAACACAGGCATTTATTTTTGTCAAACATACATTTCAGAGTAAAAAGGATTATAAAGGTTAAAAAGCAGAGATTTTACCTTTTTGCCAGGAGAACCAGCAACACGTCACAGTGACACTGAGGAGTTTATTTTAACATAAAACCCAGGATAGAGGGGCTCAGTGAATGAGCAGGTGAATCTGTACAGGAGGGTCAGTCCATCAGAGGAGACTCTGTAGAAGGACAGAGCACCAGCTCCCCAGTCCAGATATACTCCTACTCTGTGGGAGCCTGAGGGCTTTATGGGTATGACTGTCTGTTTATTATTGTGCCAGACAGAGTATCTGACAAGATAACAGTCCAGACTCCATGACTTGTCATTGTCTCCAAGCCCACAGTCACTCTCTCCTTTCCTCCTGATCCCTTTATAAGTCACTCCTATACAGGCTCCATTTCCATCCCACTCAGCCTCCCAGTAACAGCGGCCAGTCAGACTCTCTCTGCACAGAACTTGGTACCAGTCATCAAATCTCTCTGGATGATCAGGATAAGGCTGCTCTTCACCCCGCGTCACCTTCCTGTTCCCCCCTGACAGAGACAGGTCTCTGTTTGCTGTGTTGTGGTCCAGCGTCAGCTGGCAGGAGTCTGTAGGCAGGAAGAAGAATTATTAATACCATCAGGCAGCCTGTACTTTATGTTTCTGTACAATATAAAAACAGCACAGCTTCCCGGAAAGAAACGGGAACTGAAGTTTATGAAATAGCTCAGGAAATGTCGGACGGCACGCGACGCGGCGGGAAGAGCCGCCAAAATGCGGTGCGAGCTAAACTAACAGCTTAGTTACGAGTAAATAAAATTACAAAGCAGCGACATTCATCAGACACATTCATCACAGGCATATTTACCACAAAACGGCACCAGATATTAATACTAAAAGTCAGTCTCTTTCCTTCTAACCACTAAAGCCGGCGCGTGCGGCTTGAAAATGGCCATCAATAGAATATTTAAGTAATATTATTAAATATTTAAAGTGATATTTAATAAAAGTTTGGACCTGGATTCTGATACAAACGCCTCCGAAGAGTATTCGGGTGTTATGCCGAAAAAGGCATCCCTGCCGTAGAATGCATGCCTGTCTCTAAATGACCGAATGGTCGCTGATCTGAAACGAATTGAGCTACTTTGTCGAGTTAGTGCTAGTCAACAACCCCAAAAAACCCGTAAAACTCTAACCCTAACCCGCAAAAAACCCCTAAAACCCTAACCCCCAAAACACCCCTAAAACCCTAACCCCCCAAAAACCCCTAAAAGCTCAACTCGTCAGAACTCTAAGGCAGGGATGCCTTTTTCGCCATAACACCCGGCGCCTGAGTTGCGCCCATGAGGATCCAGTGTTTGCAGCGATTGTCTGACATGGTCTTTAGTCACAGCAAAGCCACTCTGAATGCATTTCACATGCGTCAGCTTATTTCCGTGAAGCGTGTCATACTGTATCTACTGATCCGGGAGAAACACTGCGGTGTCAAGCGGGGTGGAATCGGTGCCGCGCAAAGTCGGCAAGCTAATGATAATACCGTCTACAAACCATCAACAAAAGCGGATTAAACTACACAGATCGTGCATCATGAAAAATAGAAAGGTTATGTCATTAATTCAGAAAAACAGAAAATTATTACTCAGAAAAACAGGATGATCATTACGTTAATTACACGCGCGTGACTCTAGATGCGGTGCTGCTGCTGCGAGGCTTGAGCCCCGCATCTTGTGCAGGCACGTGGCCGCTCTAATCTGTTAACATGGGCGCCGAAATGAAATTCGATATTTTCCGTTGCACATCCAGTGTGTCCCGGGTGCAAATTTCTTTTAGCACCATGGTTTGGGAAATCTTATTAATATCCATAAGCGAAGCCCTACATGATTGGCTGGCTCATTAATATTTATGAGAGGGGCACTACCATGATTGGCCAGTGAACATCGACATGTGCTGCCTGTTTTTTCTGCCTAAGGCAGGGGTATCCAAATCCAGTCCTGGGGGGCCGGAGCCCTGTGTAGCTTACTGTAGTTCTTTCTCTGTTCCACCATAAATGATTCAGCTCAAATGCCGTGTGGTAATTAGCACAAGGAGTTGAATCAGGTGTGTAAAATGAGGGGAAACCCAAAAATGTGCAGGGCTCTGGCCCTCCAGGACTGGATTTGGGCACCCCTGATCTAAGGCATTCAGTGGCCAATCAGGAATATTCTCTTATAAATATTAAGGAGTTTAACAGAACCACCCTGTAAAAATGCAAATTCACATTTCGCACTTGAGGATAGAGTCCAGTGTCACTGCCTACGGGTGCCGTCTTAGGACAATACTAACAAATCTCACACAGAAAACAATCATGGCATGCACAAAAAGAACAAATGCAAAGTATTCTTTTATGTGAAATTAAAGATGTACAACTACATCAGAATATATTTTAACCATCTTACACTCCCCCACAAACAAAAAGACAATATGAGCAGCTATAAAGTATTTGTAAAAAATATTTTTTAAAACAATTAAATGAACTGATAGTGTTTTTGGTGATGATTTTGATGTTTTGTTTTTCTCATTTGGATGTTGTCTAAAATGACACACAGAAACTCACCTAAAGACAAACATGGAAATCCATCTACACACAATGCAAAAAGACACACTCATCACAACAATTGTGTGAATACAACCATAACATAGTATTAATGGTATTATTAAAAAAAACATGCAAACACACTTACATTTCTGTAAGCCTGGTCTGGTCATGCACTCTCCACAGTGGTCCACACTATAGGAGAAGCAGAATGATATAGTGCTGCTGTATCCATTTATTTATTGGTGCCTCTTCTTCACATACATGCATAAGTATCTATAGCGTGTCAGACTCACACTCTGTACTCACTTCAGCTTCTCCAGGTTACAGCTGGGATCCTCCAGTATAGCAGAGAGCAGCTTCACTCCTGAGTCTCCTGGGTGATTGTAGCTCAGATCCAGCTCTCTCAGGTGTGAGGGGTTTGACCTCAGAGCTGAAGCCAGGGATGAACAGCCTTCTTCTGTGACTCTACAACCTGACAGCCTGCAGAGAGACAGACAAATAAATAAATAAGATCACCTCACCGTTACAAGCATTACTTGAAATAGTCTTCCTGCTAGTGTAGCGGAAGCTAAAACCCTGGGGTCCTTTAAATCAGAGCTAGATAAGATTTTAACAACTCTGAGCTATTAGTTAAGTTCTCCCCAAACGAGCTTGATGAGCCGAATGGCCTCCTCTCGTTTGTAAATGTCTTATGTTCTTATGTTTTAAGTAAAAGTGACTGCTCTAATAAATATTTCAATAATCACGCAAAATTAACACTTTCCGAACATTTTATAAGAACCTATACTCCTCAGAAAAAGGACCAGATCCAGTTGAAATGGAATCATTTTAAATAATCTAGACTTTCCCATATTAACCAATGAAATAGCAGATGCCCTTGATGCACCATTAACATCAGAAAAACTCCATAAGTTCCTCAACCAAATGCCTAACAATAAAGTTTCCCTGCAGAAATCTATTAACATTTTTTGGATGTATTATCTCCAGTCTTCAATAGACAGATAGAGAAATTAAACATTCATCACAAATTCTATGACATATGAGCACAGCGACCATTACAGTGTTATTGAAACCTTTTAAAGACCCAACACAGCCCTCCAGTTACCGGCCATTACAGTGTTATTGAGACCTGATAAAGACCCAACACAGCCCTCCAGTTACCGGCCATTACAGTGTTATTGAGACCTGATAAAGACCCAACACCACCCTCCAGTTGTACATCAATGTAGTATTGTGGTTAATGGATGAGACCGTCCGGGAGTAATAAGGAGATTAGCCACAAGTGAAATCAATAACTAAGCGGGGGAGGGACATGTAGCGGAGTGTGGTGATAAGAGGAGAAAAGTTGGAGACAGGGGAGAGAAATGCCGGTCAGTGTTGCGTGAGGGGTCGATTAGTACTGGTCGCGGTCATTAGGATCGCTGCCGGCGAAGATAGGTAGGGGGTGAAATAGGTGGATGTTGCGCGGATTTATTAGGGCGACACTGTTGCCGGTGGGCTAGACTACTGTCATTACAGGAGGAAGTTGGTTCCCAGCCTTGTTTAATCCCTGGGGTTTAGTTGATTAGACCCCGTGGGTGGGTCTGGTTGAGGAAAGGGAAGTGTCCTTTTTAAGATTCTTCTTGTGTGTGTGTGTGTGTGTGTGTGTGTGTGTGTGTGTGTATGTGTTTTTAGGATGGTCAGCCGATCGGGTTTGTGCAATACGGTGGGTTAAAGGAGGGTTGGATGGGATGGTGTACGCTGCCGCCTCGGAGGGGGGTGTTTGGTATAATTGAATGTGAATTACGATTTTGCTTGGCTTGCTGTGCTTCTGTGAGTGGGGTGCTGGTGAACCTACTGAGTTGCTGTGTGACACACTCTGGCGGCGGGGTTACAGCCTGTTTATCTGCTCCCTGGCTGGTTGTATTGTGCTAGGGGTCGGCTGAGTGGAGATGAATTAATTAAATAAAGTATTTGATCCCTAAATTGGTGGCGTGTATCCCTTGGGCTTGCTGGGTGGGTAACCTGTGGGGAGTGGGCTATGATAGCTAAAGGATAGATCTTTAATACCCACAGAGGTTTTCTTACAGTATCATGGAACATAAATGGATGTGGCAACCAAATTAAAAGGAGGAAGGTCTTCGCATATCTGAAATCCAAAAACTCAGACATAGCATTTATCCAAGAATCTCACATAATGGAGAATAAGGAGGCAGAGAAATTTCAAAAGGATTAGGTAGGGAATGTTTTTCATAGTTCCTACTCAAGTAAATGAAATGGTGTGATGATACTAATAAACAAGAATCTAAGCTTTGTTATGTTAAAGCAAAGAAAGGACAAAGAAGGC